CTATTTTACATTCCCTCCAGCAGTGTAGAAAGGTTCCCCTTTCTCCACATCCTTGCCAACATTTGTTGTTTGTCTTTTGGATGGTGGCCATCCTAGCTGGTGTGAGGTGATATCTCAATGTGGTTTTAGTTTGCATTTCTCTGATGACAAGCAATGCGGAGCATCTTTTCATGTGCCTGTTGGCCATCTGAGTTTCTTTGGAGATGCGTCTGTTTAGATCCTCTGCCCATTTTTTAATTGGTTTATTTGCTTTTTGTTGGTTGAGGTACGTGAGCTCCTTGTGTACTTTGGATGTCCACCCCTTATCGGATATGTCATTTATGAATATATTCTCCCATACTGTAGGATGCCTTTTTGTTCTACTGATCGTGTCCTTTGCTATACAGAAGCTTTTTAGTTTGATATAGTCCCACTTGTTCAGTTTTGCTTTTGTTTCCCTTGCCCATGGACACATGTTCATGAAGAAGTTGTTCATGTTTATATTCAAGAGAGTTTTGCCTATGTTTTTTTCTAAGAGTTTTATGGTTTCATGACTTACATTCAGGTCTTTGATGCATTTTGAGTTTACTTTTGTGTATGGAGTTAGACTGTAATCCAGTTTCATTCTCTTACATGTAGCTGTCCAGTTTTGCCAACACCAGCTGTTGAAGAGGCTGTCATATCCCCCATTGTATGTCCATGGCTCCTTTACCATATATTAATTGACCATATATGCTTGGGTTAATATCTGGATTCTCTATTTTGTTTCACTGGTCTATGGGTCTGTTCTTGTGCAAGTACCAAATTTTCTTGATTACCATGGCTTTGTAGTAGAGCTGGAAGTTGGGAAGCACAATCCCCCCTGCTTTATTCTTCCTTCTCAGGATTGCTTCAGCTATTTGGGGCCTTTTGCTGATCCAAATGAATTTTAGAACTATTTGTTCCAGTTTGTTGAAGAATGCTGTATTTTGATAGGGATTGCATTGAATCTGTAGATTGCTTTAGGCAGGATGGCCATTTTGACAATATTAATTCTTCCTAGCCAAGAGCATGGGATGAATTTCCATTTATTAGTGTCCTCTTTAATTTCTCTTAAGAGTGCCTTGTAGTTTTCAGGGTATAGGTCTTTCACTTCCTTGGTTAGGTTTAGTCCTAGGTATTTTATTCATTTTGATGCAATTGTGAATGAAATTGTTTTCCTGATTTCTCTTCCTGCTAGTTCATCATTAGTGTATAGGAATGCAACAGATTTCTGTGTATTAGTTTTGTATCCTGCAACTTTGCTGAATTCAGATATTAATTCTAGTAGTTTTGGAGTGGATTCTTTAGGGGTTTTTTTATGTACCATATCATATAATCTGTAAACAGTGACAGTTTGACTTTTTTCTTACCAATCTGGATGCTTTTCATTTCTTTGTGTTGTCTGATTGCCGTGGCTAGGACCTCCAGTACTATGTTGAATAAAAGCGGGGAGTGTGGGCATCCTTGTCTTGTTCCCGATCTTAGAGGAAAACCTTTCAGCTTCTCACTGTTAAGTATGATGTTGGGTGTGGGTTTGTCATATGAGGCCTTTATTATGTTGAGGTACTTGCCCTCTATACCCATTTTGTTGAGAGTTTTTATTAATAATGAATTTTTTAAAAGAAAAAAGATAACATTTAAGTTACTGTGCCGAGTACCCATCCTAATACTTATTTGATTCTCATGACCACATTAGGCTTATTATCCATATTTACGAAGCGGGAAAGTGAAGCAAGAAACCTCATACAACTTGCAGTAAGTGAATACGCATTCCTGTCATAGCTGAGTGAATGAATGAATCAATGAATGGCCCTGAGATGCGGGGTGACGTGACAAGAAGCTTGAGGAGGTGTAACGGGAGGCGGGCGGAGGCTAGAGCGCAGGGGCCAATGGGGACGTAGCTGTGACTGGAGACGTCTTCTGGGCCGCGCGAGAGCCGCTGGGAGTTGTGGTCCCCTGCCCACCTAGCCACGTCACTGCCTTCAAACCTTAAATCCTCCCATTGTGCATGGTATGATAGGTATCCCCAAACATCTGGGTCGGTTCCCCCGCCGCCAGGACTATTCTTCCTTCCTCTCGTGTCCGGAGGTTTCTTGGTGTAGTCTCCCGGCTCCGCGGGGCAAGGTGTCCCGGTGCCGCGCCCCCGCCCGGAACCAACTTGGTTCACTTTTCCTACGTTCACCTAACCCCTCCATCCTTTGACCTGTTCGTTCCCGCCACGACCCCTGAAGTTGTTTCTCGCAAGCCCTCGGTCCCCTCTTCACTAGTTACAGCGGCCCAGTTATCCTACAACGCCACGTTCCCGCCCCCGCCTCTCCTTTCCCTCAGGCTCCCCCAGCCCTATCTTGGTACGCCCCGGCCACGCCCCCTCGCGGACGCTTGGTACGCGGCGCTGCCCCCCGCTAGTGGCGGTGGTTTGGCCACGGCGACCCCTCTTCGGGTGCACGTACCTTCCGCTTGGTACAGCCCGGCCCGTCTCCCCAGAAGCCGCGCGCCCGCGCCCCTCAGTCGGTAGAGCTCGCAGCTTCTCGTCCGGTCGGTGGCAGGTTTTAGCCCGCTCGGCCCGCGCCTGCCATGGTCCTTCCGCGCCGCGCCCCGCACCGCTCGGGCGCTGGGGGCCCCCTCGGGGGCCTCGGACGCCCTCCGCGGCCCCTAACGGTGCGCGCCCCACGCTCGCGCTCCTGGCCGGCCAGTCCCCGGGTGCATAGATATTTATAATGGTTATATCCTCTTGTTGGACTGACCCCTTTATCATTATGTAATGTCCTTCTTTGTTTCTTGTGAATTTCTTTGTTTTGAAGTCTACTTTGTCTGATACAAGTGCTGTAATTCCTGCTTTTTTCTCCCTATTAGATGCATGAAATATCATTTTCCACCCCTTTACTTTCAGCCTGTGTATGTCTTTGGGTTTGAAGTGAGTCTCTTGTAGGCAGCATATAGACAGGTCTTGTTTTGTTATCCATTCAGTGACTCTATGTCTTTGGATTAGTATATTCAAACCATTTACATTTAGGGTGATTATCGATAGGTATGTACTTATTGCCATTGCAGGCTTTCGATTCATGGTTACCAAAGGGTCAAGGGTAACTTCCTTTCTATCTAATAGTCTAACTAAACTCACTTAGTATGCTATTACAAACACAATCTTAAGGTTGTTATTTTTTTCTCTCTGCCTTTTTTCCTCCTCCATTCTTTATATATTAGGTATCATATTCTGTACTCTTTTTCTATCCCTTAACCTACATTGGGGTAGTTCATTTAATTTTGCATTTGCTTAGTAATTAATTGTTCTGCTTTCTTTACTGTGGTTTTATTACCTCTGGTGACAGCTATTTAGCCTTAGGAACACTTCCATCTATAGGAGTCCCTCCAAAATACACTGCAGAGACAGTTTGTGGGAGGTAAATTCTCTCAGCTTTTGCTGATCTGGAAATTATTTGATCTCTACTTCAACATTAAATGATTATCTTGCTGGGTAGAGTATCTTGGTTCCAGGCCCTTCTGCTTCATTGCATTAAATACATCATGCCACTTCCTTCTGGCCTGTAAGGTTTCTGCTGAGAAGTCTGATGATAGCCTGATGGGTTTTCCTTGTATGTGATCTTTTTTCTGTCTCTGGCTTCTTTTAATACTCTGTCCTTACCCTTGATCTTTGCCATTTTAATTATTATATGTTTTGGTGTTGTCTGTCTTGGCTCCCTTGTGTTCAGAGATTTGTGCACCTCCACGGCCTGAGAGACTATCTCCTTCCCCAGATTGGGGAAGTTTTCAGCAATTACCTCCTCAAAGACACTTTGCCTTTTTCTCTCTCTTCTTCTTCTGGTACCCCTCTAATACGAATATTGTTCCATTTGGATTGGTCACACAGTTCTCTCAATATTCTTTCATTCCTAAAGATCCTTTTTTCTGTGCCTCAGCTTCATCTTCCCCACTTTCTTTTTCATTTATCCTCTCCTCCACCATATCTAATCCACTTTTAAGTCCCCCCATTGTACTCTGGAATGAATGGATCTCTGTGCTGATTTCTTTCCTGAGTTCTTGAATGTTTTTCTGTACCTCCATGGTCATGTTTATGTTTTTTTTGGAATCTCTTTCAGGAAGGTTGATGAGTTCATTTCATTTTCACTTGACCCTTTTTATGGTGTTTTGGGGATTTTGGTTTGAACCAGGCTCCTCTGACATTTCATATTTGTATGTGGCACCCTCTAGTACCCAGAAGGTCTACTCTCTGGAGCTGCTTAGCCCATGGAGCAATGTTGGCAGTCACAGGGGGGTAGCGCTGGTGACTGAGGATTGGGAGGAGCTGTTTCCTGCTTCCCAGCTACTGTGCCTCTCTCCACAGACAGACCAGTGGGCCAAGTACACAGGTGTAACCCTCTGTGCTTTGCCTTTGTAGCTGCTGTAGGCAGGGCCTCCCTTGGCTGGACTGATGCCAGGGAAGGGGCAGCTGGTTTGCAAGCCAGTGCCAGCTGGCCAGAAGGTGCAGTAGGCTGCATATCATGGTGGAAGGCTTCGGAGCTGTGTAGCCAGCCAGGGGGATGGAGCGCCTGAAGTTCCTGAAAAGTTCCCAACCTGCTGGGCAGAGTGCATCTGGACAATTTTGTCTACCTGTCCTTTTTCCTGAGCAGCAAGCCCTGTGCAATCCTTGCCCATTTAGTAGCCCTCTCACTGTTAGGAAGTCTCTCATACTGCCTGCCTTTCTTTGGTCCCAGAGCAGCCGGATGTGGATCCCTGTTTTCCACAAGCGGCTGGAATCTCACTCTCCAAGTATTCCTCCTGTCTTAGCTTTCAAACCCCACTAATCTCCAGAGCACAATGCAATATAGGTTTGTGCTCCCACAGCAGATCTCCAGGGCTGGGTGTTCAGGAGTCCTAGGCCTCCACCCTCTCCCCCTCCATTTCTCTTCCTTCTGCCAGTGAGCTGGGGTGGGAGAAGTGCATGGGTCCCCCCAGATCATGGCTTTGGTATGTTACCCTTTTTGAGGTCTGTTCTTTTCTCCAGGTGTAAGCAGTCTGGTGCTGCCTTCTTTCCTGTTGATCTTTTAGGGTTAGTTGTATTAACTATATTTTCGTATTATATGTGGTTTTGGGAGGAGGCCTCTGTCTCACCTCTCACATCATCATGTTTAATCTGATCTACCTGACTTAACCACTGTTACATGATAAAAGTATCAAGTTATCAGGACGTAATTCCATATCTACTGGTTCCCGACTCAGCACTTGATATTTTACCTATTATATAAATATTTCTCCCTTTCCCCAATTGATTTGCTAGTTCTGGGGAACAGATACCCTAACATCAAAATGTCCATCTTGGTTAATTTTGAAATAGTCACAAGTTAGAATAAATACATTAGTAATACTGGTCAACTACCTCTTTTTCCATTGCAGCCTGATGTTTCTTGATAAGTTTCTTCATTTTTGCAGCAAAGTTGTTACAGTGACTTTCAAGATCTTTCTCTAATCCGAGGCGATGCTCCTCCATCTCAGCCTTTAGCTTATCTTCTAGAGTCATCAGCTGTTTCTGATGTTGCGGCATTCTCTTACAGCCAGACGTTTGTTCTCTGAGCTGAGTTTCCTGTTCATGTTCTGGCATTTGCCTTGTAACCTACAACAATGGAGAGGAAAGAATGAAATAAAGCAAAACCTTTTTCTTTCAAAACCATCTTAGACCAGTCTACTATCAACTAAGTAGGTAATTCATGTAGGAGATCCCAGTCAACAGCTTCTAATAAAATTTCATCTGAAAAAGCAGACAAGCTAGCTGGTTCTAAAATTTAAATGGGAATGTAAAGGACCTAGAATAGCCAAAATTTTGAAGGGGGATAAAAAGTTGGTAGATATAAATTCAGTAATCTAAACAGTGTGGTATTGGTAAAAGGACAGGCTGAATAGAGCAAAGGAACACAGTAAAATCTAGAAATGGACCCACATATATTCAGTCAATTGATTTGCTACCAAAAACTCAAGTTATTTCACAGAGGAAAGGAACGTTTTTAACAAATTCTGCTGTAACAACCGGTTCTCTGTATTCAAAATAAATAAATGCTTAATCATGCTATATATAGAAATTAATTTGAAAAGAGTCACTTGACCTAAACCTAAAATCCAGAATCATACAGCAGAAAACACAGAATATTATCATGACCTTGAGGTCACCAAATATTTCTTGGGTAGGACACAAAAAACACTGACTATAATGAAAAAAATGTACAAACTGGATTGTTAGAGACAAAATTCACATAATGTATGATTAATCATTTAAAGTAAACAATTCAGTAGTATTTAGTATATTCATGATGTTTTGCAAGTCTGTTCATCAATGGTGAAGGTCCTCAAGTTGTTATTTGCCAACAGCTTCAGGGAACAAGAGATAGGAGTTGAGAGAAGCAGCGAGCCAGGCTGCCTGGGGTTCCTGTCATATTTCACTGGCAGATGACCAGCTGCAAATATCTGGACCTGAGTGCCCATAGCTGGGTGAGGAGGCAGGAAGGGAATGGAAACATCTCTCCCCCAGCATGGACACACAGTATGGACTCAGTTTTCTTGGCCTAAAAATGGAATGAGGTTCCCCACCCCAGCCCTGATCAGGGTTGGTATGAAGCTTGATGGGTTCTGTCCTATTGTTGGCACTTTTACTAGGATCTGCCTGATGACCCTGACCTAGAAGAGAGAGCTAGGCTGCCCACAAGCCCAGGTCAGAGGTACTCACGTATCAACAGCTTGGCAGATGCGGTCAGCCCCCAGGTTGCCCTTGCGCAGGATGATGGCCAGATTTTTGGCCCGGTTGGCCTCAGTGAGGGTGGTCTTGCTGGGGACCTTCTGGGCTGCCTTACCCTTAAGAGCGTTGAGGTCCAGACTGGGACCTTGGGACTTAGTCTTGAATTGCTCTTCAAAGTCACTCATGTCCAGCTCCTGAAGGCACGGGGAGAGGAGGTGGGGCTGGGTGGGGCTGGGTACCTTCCTGAGTATTGTGCTAGGTGCTAGAGCCACCCACCCAAGCCCTGAACAGGCCACCCACAGAGAAACAAACCCGTCAGCAGCTTGACCACTGGCCCTGATGGGGGATCCAAGGGAAACGGGGACCACTGAGAAGCAGCAGCAGCGCCCACACCCAGGGGACCGAGACTCCAAGCTGCTACAGCTGAAGGAAGAACTGACTTGGCCAGGAATGAAAGGGGAAAGGGAAGCACATTCCAGGCTGAGCGAGCAGCATGAGCAATGGCCTGGGGACGAGAAAACACATCCCTTCCAGAAAACTGAATGTGGCATTATAAGGCTGGAGCCCTGCTTGTCTTGGAGATGGTGGGAGGGGGAGTCTGAAAGCTGGAAAGAGAAGTCGGACTTGGGGGAGGGATGCACCCCTCTGCAAAGATGGAGGGGAACATCTCCAGGGGAGTAAGGGTACACTGCCTACTAGAGGCACTAATCCAGTTTGGCCTTAATACCCATCGGTGGGCCTCCATGTCATCTGTAAAATGGGTGTGTGTGTGTGTGTGTTGGGGGGAGGGCTGGAGATAACAACACCCAGTGCCCAGCATGATCTGGGCAAGTGCCCTCTGGTGCCCACACTGGCAGGAAGGCAGGGCCACACTCACCTGTAGCACCTTCTCATCATTGAGCTCAGTGAAGACAGTACCCGTGATCTGGCTGGGTTTCAGAGCCACCCAGTTTAAGAGTGGCATTCTGAACTTGGTCTGGATGGGTTTCTTGGCCTTCACGCCTGGGACAAGGGGGAAGTGGTGAGCATTGGGCAGTAGGCAGTATAACGGCTGGAGGGAGCTGGAGCCCAGCCAGACTAACAGAACAGGCAAGAGACAGTAGGCCGCCCCCAAACAAAAGGTGGGGTCTCTCCTTCCATTCCCCCCACCACCAGTTCTGGGCAGTCCTCTCACCTGGGCCCATCTCTGGGCCGGGCCCTACAAGGGCATCAGAGGGACCACCCGGAGGCGGTGGGGCCGGTGGAGGAACCGGTCCATCTGCACCTGAAGGTGGCAGGGGCGGCGCCGGGGGTGGTGGCACCCCTCCCGGCAGCGGAGGTGGGGGCGGCGGATCCGGGGTGCCTGGGATGGGCGAGACCAGTGGAGGCGTCAAGGGCGGTGCTTCCTGCTGGTTGGAGAGGCTGGGCAGTGGGGGCAGTGGAGGTGGCGGTGGAGGTGCTGCTCCGGAAACTGGTTCCGCTGCAGGTGGGAGATCTGAGCCCAGCGAGAACAGGGAACCCAGGACGGGAAGAGGGGAAATGTCAACTTCTTGGTTTGGATGGTTTTGTGGCCGCCTCCCCGCCCTACGCATGCGCACTCAGCCCATCGCCTACCCACCCGCACCTACCTGAGCCACGCCTACAACCCAAACCTACGTCTCTCAACTCCTCCAGCCGGAGACGCCCCCCAGGGCCCTCGTTTCTACCACCCCACCAGTCGGAAACTCCTGCGCACCTGCGCTCGGGGAGCCCATAGGCAGCCCCGGAGTCGGCGCAACACTGCCGCTCGGATTTGCCACAGAGACCGCATCTTCAGGCCCCCGCAGGATACGGATTAACCCCTTCTCCTCCAGGTCCTCCATTTTCAGCTCAAGGGCCGAACGTCGCGCCGGGTGGGGAGCAGGCATTTTCTCAGGCTCAGAGGGGCCCCTGGATGCGCCCATGGGGGTCGACTCGCTGAAGCGCTCCTATGATCCCAGGGGAAGGGATCAGTATCGACCAGCAGGTCTGGCACAGATTCCCTATCTTCTTGCCAGGGTGGATGGCTATGCAAAGCCTGGGAGCCCCATATGTTCTGTTCTTGAGAGCCAGGACCGCTCCTCTCCCAGTGCACGCCCCCAGGCTTACCCGCAGGGTCTCCAACTCCTTTCTGGCCTGGCTTAGCTGCTTTTCCAGCTCCGCGATCTTGGCCATGGATTCGTTCTCCACGTCCCGTAGCCGCTCTGTCAGCTGTGACACCGGCACATGGTGAGCTCCCACCCGCTACCGGGCAATGGCACCACCAGTGAGGGGGTGGCATCAGGCATGCCTGCCTGGAGGGCTGGGGGAGGCTTCCGGATATGCTTAGCCCATATTACCGTGGGTGGGCCGAGCCTGGGACTTGAACCCAAGTAGTGAGGCACTGAGGGCACTAAAGTTCTCTCCAGAGAGGAAACCAAAGCACCAATTATGAGGCAGAGGGGTGGAGAGGAGACTGAGCTAGGAGGGGCCCCCAGAACCCAGTACCACCCAAGTCAGGGCCTAGACTCTGGGCATGGGGAGAGGAGGGGGCCTGTCCTCCTCAGAGATCCAGTACAGTGTGCAGCTCAATGAACACTCATTGAGAGAGACACCCAGAGGATTCAGGATTTGGATTCAGGCCAATCTCAGGGGCCAGGCACACAGCCGCCCCCAACTGACACCTAGAACCAGTGTCCAATGCCAGTGTGAGGCCCTGTGGGCCTACTGTGTGCTAGGCTGAGTCCAGGAGGAGCTCTCACCAGGGCCACTTGCTCCTGCAGTTCCTCCATGTGTTCCAGCACAGCATTCTTGGTCTCAGTGTCTTCCAGCAGGGCGCCCACATTGAAAACATTGTCCAGGTATGCCTGAATCTGCACCTGCAGCTTGTCACTCTCCGTGAGCCACAGCCTCTGTTCCCCAAATGGAAGGAGCACGGTAAATCCTGATGTGAGCAGTCTTTCCAATACCCGCCATCACCCCCAAACTCCAGAGGAAGGGGCTTGGCCCTAGCCTGTTTTCCTTTACTTTTTATTGAGATATAATGCACATACCATAAAACTCGGTATTTTAAAGTGTACCACTCATAGTTTTTAGTATATTCACAAGGTAATTCCATCTCCACTAATTCCAGACCATTTTCTTCACTCCAGAAAGAACCCCTGCAAATATAAGCAATCTCCCATTCTCTCCTCCACCAGCCCCTGGCAACCACCAATCTATTTTCTGTCTCTATGGATTTGCCTATTCTGGACATTTCGTGTGAAGGGATCAGATAATATTCAGCCTTTTGTGTCTGGCTCTGTCACTTAGCATGTTTTTAAGGTTCACCCATGTGGTAGCACGAATCAGTATGTCATTCCTTTTTTATGGCTGCATAATGTTCCATCATATGGCCATCTCACTCTAGTCTGCTCTTCATCTTTTGTTAATCCTACCTTTCAAAAATCTAATCCCAAGGGCTCCACTCCTCCAAGAAGCCTCCCAAATCAATCAGGGAAGCTTCAGTTTCTCTGCCTCGGCTGGACCAGGAAGCATCAAGCCCCTTTGCCTCCCTCCCCAAGGGCAAGGAATTCCTCCATGGCCTAGGCCCACCCAGCATGAGCTGGCTCCCACTTGGGACCAATAGCCCTGGCTGCCCTATGTGCTTGAGTCAGAGTGGCTGTCTGAGGCTGAGGCTGAGCCTCATTCTCCCAGGGCCAGACTCAGTGCCCCCTAGAGCCTGTTTTAGTGCCTGCAGCAGCAGCTCCATGGACTGGAAGCCAATTATGGGGCAGACATTGTTCTACACCATTCTGTTTAGAGTCATTATTAACTTTATGAGTCTCCTGTTTTACAGATGAGAAAACTGAGATTCAGAAAGAGGAAGAGACCTACCCAAAGTCACATAGGCTAGGAAGTGGCAGAGCCAGGATTTGAACCAAAGTCTGCATGACCACAACACCCAGGCTGCTACTCACTGAGCCATACTCTGCAAAGGGCAAGTGGTTAATTCCCCTGGGAATGCAAGGCTCACCTCCAAGTATAGATCCAGGCCAAGGTGGGTAAACTCATATTGCAGGAAGACACACGGAAGTTCATGTTCTCCACCAAGTGGACCACAATGTTGATGAATTGCATGCAGGCCACCTGGGGGACAGGAGACAAAAGCAGGTCTAGGAACCTCTGAGTGGGGTGTGCTCAGTGCCTTCCATTCCCCATTTACCCCTGAGCCTCCTTGCCTTCCCACATTTCTCCCTCTACTGACCCAGCTATGTTCCTCCCTATATTTCTCCCCAGTGACCCCTCCCTCCTGCCTCCCAATCTCTGAAATCCACCCCTCAGTCCTCATACTCTGCAGTAGCACAGCCCAGATCCCAGATCCCCAGGTCCCTAGCTGCTACTTGCACCTGAGAGTGGCCCAGCCCAGGCTGGGCCCCTGAGCTCATCATGAAGTTGATGTTGCTGTCCTCGTTACGGAAATATTTCATCAGCTTTTCAAAGCGGTGCTGCTCTCCACACACCTGGGTGGGGGGAATGGCTGTCGGTGAGGCCCCAGTGACACACGTCCTAAGCCATGTTCCAGCTGCCACCCTTGTGCCTCTACAGGCTATTCTCAAGTTAAATCAAAATCAGGCCAGCTCACTCTTCTGCTCAAAACCTCCTCTTACTCTCCATCCCCCACAGGCCTCCCCATCACTTACTCCACTCTGGGCACACTGGCATCCCGGGCATTCCCACCTCAGGGCCTCTGTACCTACTGTTCCAGCCGCCTGGTGTGCTCTTCCTCGAGGTGGCCACCACAGCAAGTCCCTCACTTCCCTCACAGCTTTGCTCGAATCTCCTCTTCTTGGAGAGGCTTCCCTGACCGCCCTACAACTGGGTCACCATCTCCCAAAAGCATCCTTGATATTTTCCCGGTAGCATTTATTGTTTTCTAATGCACTGTCCCATTTGCTTATTTATTATATTGTTTATTTTCTGTCTTCCTATGCTTTCTTTTTCTTTTGTTCACTAAAGTATTCCAAGTATCCACACTGTGCCTGACATACAGTAGTCACTCAATAAATATTCATTAAGGGACTGAATGACCATGTGCTGCCCTATGAATGATATTCTCATGAATTTACTACTCATGAGCCTGTTAACCGTGTCAGCAGAGATGCATGTATGCAACTCTGAGATACATGGATAAGTCCAGTCTATATCTGGTCAGGCTGAGGGTCAGAGGTTCAGCAGATCCCCATAGATGTCCCTGTCACCCCAGGCAATGCTGCTGTGTGGCCTTGCGTCTTACCTTCAGAGTTTCCCCAGCCCACATCGTCCCCACCCTGTGCTCCCCAAATGCCCACCCAACATCCCCAGCAGAGGCCACAGCTGCCAGCAGCACGGCTCCAAGAAACACTAGAAAGCAGCTACATGTTTGTTGGCTGATGGGTTGGTTTAGGGGGGAGAGTTCCAGTACCTCCTTGAAGTTGTCAAAGGCTGCAAGGATGATGTCGTGTCCTCCCCTCACCAGGCACACAGCTGCCAGCAGCTCCAGCACCAGAGCCTTGGTTCTGCAGAGAGAAGGGAAGGTTGTCATGTGACAGCAGGCAGACCCTGTTCTCATCCAAGGATGGATGTGAGCCTGGCTAGGGGAGGACAGGAGAGCTGATGGCGGGTGTAGAATGAGACTGGGAGTTAAAATCGGGGGTTAGAACTGGGGACAGAGTAGGCAAGGGGCTAAAGCAGAAGAATCTAGATGTGGAGAAAGGTAGGGGCCTGGACCTCACTGGGGGTTCTTGTTGTTGAGGCTCAGAGCAATCTCATTGACACAGGCTGGGTGGTTCATGACAAGGCTGAAGCCAGACTGGGGAAAGAGGAGAGGTCAGCTCCTCCAGGCAGATCCCCAGGACTGCCAGCACCCTCTAGCCCCCCACCTTGGACATTGTCAGTGTCATGCCATTCTGATCTCTAACTGTCCTCAAGCTTAGGAAGTTCTTCATATCCAATCACAACCACTTCTGCAGCAGCCAAAGCCTGGTCCCTCTTTTAAAATACATTTGTCTATTCAAGAGCTAATGAGAGGGCTCAGCACCTGAGGACAGGGAGTCCTCAAAGGCTGGCTTCACCAATCACTCCTCCAAACAAAGTAACCTGGAGCTGTTCTCCCCGTGGGCCCGGGGTCCAGCCTTTCTCAGTAGGCATACCTGAGTCCTCACATGAGGCAGAGCCATGCCCCCCTTCATGTCCAGGCAACTCTAAGGGTCCTGATCCCCAGGATTCTCCAGTGGGGGAACAGTCTGCTCCTGGACTTTAACAGCTTAGGCAACCCCCAGTGAGGACAGGCCTGGCTCCCTAGGGCCCCTATTGCCCCACGCCCACTGACCGACCTGGTAGTTCATGATGGCACGCAAGCACATGATGCAGACGTGGATGTAGTCCTTCTGGCTGACAATACGGGAATTCCGCAGGGCCTTCCTGCTGTGGGCTGGGGTCAGCCTGAGTGGGGTGGGGAGGAGGCAGCAGGGGTCAGAGCCCCAAACCCAGCTTCCCGTCACCCCACCACCACTCAAATGGCCTCTGGAGTAAGAAAAGGGCACATTTGGAACCTGTGGCTGTTACTTCCCATCTACCCCACAAAAAAGAGGCCAGCTGAGGGCAGGAAGGCTTCCTGAACCCCTAGGCCTGGGGACTACACGCTGCAGGGAGAGGAGACGGGAGGTCAGGAAAGCAAAAATGCTGAAGAGCGACTTGGCTTGTAAAAGGGTTGCTATGCTGTGGGGGTAGAAAGCCCGCAGAGGGAAGAGACAGCCAACGCTGGGAAACCCCCGTAGAAATGCTCTCCACCAGGAGGCGCTCACAGACACACGGGCTTTTCTTCCGACTTAGAGGCTCTGACTTCAGACTGCCTGGGTTCAAATCCCAGCTCACCACTTACAAGGCAAGTTACATAATTCCCTGTGACTCAGTTTCCTCAGATGAATGGTAATAATACCTTCAG